CCGTGTTTTGCGTGCACACCACACCGCAGTCACACACACGTGCCAAAAGTGTTCTTTTGCTCGGATACTAGGGCAAGACATATTCTCCAAGGGCAGCTGCAGTGGTGCTTGATGAAAAGAGAAAGCTGCTGGTGTTGTTGTTTTTTAATTTATTTTGTGCTTATTTTGAATCTTGAGCACAGAAAACACACCCCTCTGGAGGAAGTAAAAGAAAAAAACAGGAAGCAACCAGAAATAGAGGAAAGTGAAATCAGGTTAAAGCTAATTTTGAAAAAGGAAAACGAAAGCGACATAGATGATACGCAAAAAAAAGGGGGGGGTTCAGACAAAAAGGAAATGAGGAAACGGCAGCACATGGACAAGGATGAAAAGAAAGTAAGGGAGAAAGATAGAGAGACAGAGGAATACAGACTCAGGCTTTATGATGAAGTCTTTGACGTGTTGAGTGGCACGTTACTGGAGAGGCTTATCCTTTCTGCTGTAACAGACTCACTCTCTATCAAACATAAACACACATATACAAAACCGAAACTTACTCCACCCTCACTTTTGTGGTAAGCTTTCCTCAAACTGAAAGACAAGACAGGTGCTCGGCACTTCCTTCTCCCCTAAACAGGAAGCTGCAAGACCTCACCCTGTATCTGTAACTGTTGGCTGATGCTGTCTGAGAGATTTTGCATCTTTTCCCCTAACAACAAGCATTTTAGACTTCATGCAGGCAACCGCCCGTTTCAGTTTAGTCAAGTGCAGAATAGAAATCAGAAACACTTTGCTGTGTATTTTACCACAGTGAACATTTGTTTTGAGCGGGCTTTTTGTTTTGTTTTGTCAGAACTATGTTATCATTGCATAATAATTCAGTTGGAAGCGCCAATTCTTCTGACAAGTTTCCAGGTGATGCATTCAGGTGCTTAAAACACAGTGTTGGTCAGTGACACATTACATAGTAAATTTTATTATCTTTTTCCTTACGAGTATTGTAAGGGATTAGAATACTGTTAATCCCACTCATGCTTTATTATACTGACGTTTCGTCAGCTCGTTTGCTGTCTTACTGGGAGTTTCTGGAGGATTAATAGCAGTTTATTCTTTCTGCAATGAGTGTACAGTAGCATGGTGGGGGGAGGCGATGAGCTGCCACCCAAAAGAAGAGAAATGTGACTCTTGGTAATTCCAGAGTTAGAGTTGGAGGGTGTGTGAACCACGCAGCTGAGGTTGGGACTTCTGGAGAGCCGTGTGCAGTTACTGAGGCTAAGCTAGCTGCTGGATGTAAATCCTCCAAATTGTAGAGCTTCCTTGTTTGTTAAAATGTCTTGTTTTCTATCTCTGCATGTTTTAAACACAGAAGCTGCGACTTGTGGGTGTGGAAGGTTTGGAGTTTAAAGACATTTTTGACGTGCTGAGTAAAGTAAATACTAATGTATTTCTTTTGCTATTGGAAAAGTAATTGAGTATGTGTATAATACGTACTTGATTACGGTTTTCAAGTTGCCCAAACATGGATTTTGTTGAAAGGATGTGACTTTTGTACCTTCATGCATCAGTAGCCCAGTTTTCATATAAATGTAGTTAAAATTACCCATTGCATTTTGCTTTTATCAGTACATTTCCCACCTCTGCCACAAACCTTTTTGTTTCCATCCAGCTGTTTTTTGCGCAAATTGAATTACCAAATGATTTTGAATTGCCTCAAACGTATCTCAGCTTGTACGCTGATACCAATATATCTAATTCTCAGATGTTGACGCTTCACATTTGCACTCGGATCCACCTATGCAGAAAACGCTTCACCTGTGTTACAACACATCGATGTGAAAAAAGAAAGAAAAGTAAAGACAACTAGATGTTCATCGTGATGGATTACCTAGCCCAAGAAAGTGTCATGTCTCTGCAAGTTGATTTTCATGCCATATTGGCATGAGCTTAAACCGGTGCCTGCTGGAAAAATGCAGAAGAATGCACTTATCAATCAAAGAGGATTTGGAGAAAGTCAGCAATAATAATACTAAAATAATACACTATTTTAGAGTAAAACCTGTTTAAACATGCTGTGTATGTGATGTGCATATATGCCTTAAAATATAAACATAAACTTTATATGAGTGGTAGATTTTTTTCTAGCTCTACAGTAGCTCTGATTTTGGCACAGAGATTTGTTTTTACGTTGCAAGTTGAGTCATTAAACACACGCAGAGCTGAGAAAGCTTTGGTAATCCCATGATGTTTTGGTTTGGTTACTAGGATGACCCGACTGGTGCAATCCAATCAAGGGACCTCAGAGGTCATGAATGAGAGCGGGAGGAAAACAGAGATTGGAGGGGATTCAGGAGCACAGGGTGAATGAGGAGGATTAGAGGAAGGAGATGAAATAAACGAGAGAGAAGCAGAGGAGAAGAGGAGACAGGAGGGAGATCTAATAACAGTGGAAAGTAAAGGGGATAAAGACAGAGATAAGAGAGACTTACGTCATCGTTTCGCTCTCGCACATAAACACAGACGGTGTTGAATTCTGTAACAACAAACTGAAGCGGTGGAGTGTGTGTTGAGCTCAGGTGTCTTTTTAACTTATGAATGAATGTTGTTATTGTGAATTGTTGTGTAATTATCCCACATACTTATTGAATCAGCCTCCAGAGAAGCAGTCATAACACTGTGTTGTATTACAAACCCCATAGAGGGCACTTCATCACCACTGTTTGCCTCAGCACGGTTTTATATTTATCCTCTGTGTTGAATTATTGACTGAAGGTAAAGAAGTAGGTTCTCTTTCATAATGCCATCTGTCACTCTTATTGCAGATTGAAATGATGTATTTCAGAGAGCAGAGCAGATACAACGATAAGTCTGGCATTGTATTTATGTTCCTTATTCTCAATAAATAGTAAACGGTGAGAACGATTCTTTAGAAGTGTGTGTTAAATGGTGAAAGACCGTCAGTAACCTCCTCCCCCCACAGCTTGTTGGTCGAGTTTCTCGCTCCAGCTCTCTTTTTAATGCATGACGCAACTATTTCTGTCACTTGTAAACAGTTGAGTGCAACTCTACAAATGCCTTCCAGGAGGGACTATCCGATCATTTGGGCCGTTATTACCATATTGAGACAATTATTGCATTTCCCCTACTCGATGGCGGAACACTTTTGATTTCCGACGTGGTCAGAACTCGAGCATAACCTAATCCTTCGTTGGACTTATCCAAATCCACTGGCTCCTACTGAAAATGTAAATCTTTAAAATGTGTCCCAGATTCAGTATATTTTTAAAACCTGCTGGGCACTATAGCTTTTAGCAAATGTTTCTCGAACCTGAGTAAATAGTGCATTTGCTATGGACTATTTTTAATCACTATGGTCTATTTCATTCATTAATACTCATTTGGAGTCCATATTTTTGGCAGCAGGACAGTGTATGTACAAAGAAAAAGATTGGTGGCAGGATCTAATTCTTGGTTTTGGTCTTTTTCTTGGTATTTGTTGACGGGAACAAAGATTTACCAGACATATCCTTTAAATAGTGACATTTCAGTGCAGGACTTCTGCTGAATTGGTCTAACAGCTGTAGAACAAGCTGACCAGTGTGTAAATAAATCACTTACTGTGCTTCATGACTAATGTGATTACTCACCTTCTTCCATGACATATGATACATTTTCATAGTTGTAACATCAACTCTTCCTCCGAAAGCATTGAACTGCTTAGGCGAATAAGATACAGTTCTTGTATATATTAAACATAAACCATCAGCACTGGATGGATGTGGTGTAGTGCTTCCCATCCACTGTTCAGGTGTCAGGGAAAAAAACAAACATTTGACTACTATAGAGTTGAGAGTGCCAATTGATTGTAAAGACTGACTGCTGCGTTAATGTGCAATGTGTTCAACAGCTCTGTGTTTTGCTGCTTTACAGTCTGTTATCCAGTGTCAAATGTCAACTCTCTCCCCTTTCCCCCTGCAGGGTTGGAAACACTAGCATTGTTATCTCTGCCATAAATTAGCTTATTTCTACTGAAGAGTTAGAACTTTTTCCTAGTGCAGCAAGAGAAACGTTTTTCTTTCGAAAAATATTTTAGAAATGATAATCGTCCGTTTTAGAAAATTTATTTTCTATTTTAGTTTGCATTTCTTTCTATTTTTCTAGATGAGTGTTTCTGAAAGTGTGGATCATGTTCCAGTTTTTTTTGTCTCTTCTTGTGAAATACAGGACACTTCCTCTGAAGACCCTCAAATGAAACAAGTTAAGAATGAAACAAAGTAGGTTGTTGCTTCATTTTATGGCGTCAAAGCCAAAAATGTCGGGAATCACTGTTGTAAAGGAGGAACTTAAGAGTCAGAAAACAGGTCACAGACACATGCTGTCATCGTGAAGAAGTTATTCTTTTAAAGCCAGAAATAACATTATGAGACTTGCTACAGCTCAGCTTGTCAGCTGAATGGCGGCATCAGATTCCTGTGCAGATAATGGGGCGTTATTGGAGCAAACAATGGCCAATTTGGACTCACACACGTGTAACTATAGAGTTCTGTGGGTCCCCGGGGTGAATAGAAACACAATAAAGAACAGTGTACTGACAAACATGGATCAATGGCTTCATAAAGGAGAATATATTGCTCCTGAGGGACAGAAACACCACCTGTGTAGTGTGTTAGTGTGTGTGTGTCTCAGTGGGTGGTTACACCACATTCTTGTGAAAGGGAGTGCTATCTGTCACACATGTTTGATGAACAGATTGAGCTGCAGCAGGATTCATAAAATTTCCCACGCAGATTCTTTCATTCACAGATCTGACACATGTCTTTCTGAATGTTGAAATCGTTATTTGTGTGACCTTACATAATGCTTTTTGCCTTTAAACTTTGCATGCTTTCAGTGTTCTTAAATAAGTAATCACTTATAGCAGTGTGCCTGAATAAACACGTTGTCATTGCTTACAACAGCGTTCCTGAATAATAACTGCTCACTCTCTCCTTTCTGCTCTTTCTCCTCCCTTTTTCTTTGTGCAGGAGAAGCAAAAAACATCCCTCCATACCCAGGGCCAAACAGGATGAGGGACTGTTACTGCACTGTCAACCTGGACCAAGAAGAGGTCTTCAGGACCAAGATCATCGAGAAGTCACTTTGGTATGTTGAAGGCAATCAAGAAAGTCAAATCATAACCACTTACTACTGAGGTGGAATAAACATGTAAAAAAAAAAGAAGGTTTAATTGGAAGGTTTAAAAATTCTCAAGCTTAGAGCTGGTGTTATAGTCATTCAAGATGCTGATCATATAATCTCAAAGTTCCCACTTCCGATCTTCTACTATGTTTCTTTCTCTATACATTTCCTGTCAAGTCGTCACTGACCCTTATCTAATAAAAGCTAAAATGTCCAAAGATGTAATGATATAAAGCATTTAAGTACCAAAACAACTCTATGGTCAGCTGTCAGATTTCTCTAATCTTAAATTAATGAACATGTATCTCATGAACATTTGCTGTCTGCACTGCATGTCTCATTGGTTGACAGATGAACCAGCTCATCTGTTTTTACATTGAACTTAATCCCAACAAGCACTGAGCAGTTCAAGTACTCTCATACAGTACAAATATCTATTCTGGGAATGCCAAATTCTCTCTTTACTACCTTCGTCTCTCAGGACATTATTTTTGATGTATGCACATTTCTTAAATTTTTTGCTACAGAATAACTCTGTATCAAGGTGCATTACTTCAAACACAGCAGACTTCTGTATAAATAGTGGAAAATATATCAAAGCAAAAGAAAATGTTTAGATGAAGAACATAGTGTAAATGTATCACTAATGGAATTATGACATTTAAGATTCAACTAAAACATTACAAATATGCCAAATTTTTTCACTCATGTTTTGCAGATACTGTATATTGTATCACAGCTTTACTTCAAGATTATGGACGACTGAATAGATTGCGATTCCTTTCCACTTTGATTGTACGCAGTGTTGAGAGATTACGCATTTTCCGTCTGGCTGAGCTGATGAGGAAACAAGTGAGATGTCTACTGAGTAACAGAGGAAGTCACTAATTGTTAGCAGCAGCCCTAAAGGCTCAGCTCACGAGATTCTCATTGCCATAATTTCTATGGTCATCATTTAGGTGAAGTCAGTGTGTGGCAGTTGATCTTCCAGCCAATGGTCACAAACAAGCCAACTGTTTTAGGCTGTAGAGTCCACGTGATTAATGGCAAGATGTAAATACAGGCGTCCCTTGTTTTTATATCTGCCAAAGTGACAAAATCAATCATCACCGGGCGCGAGTGATGAATTTTGTTAGTTTTATTGTTACACGAGATTCTGTGCATATCTAGTACGAGGAAATTACTCAATATTAAAATCACTTTATTAGAAATCTGGGAAAAAAACACGAAGTATTGATTAAAATATGTTTTTCAAGAAATTACCCTATAGCTTGTTGATTGATTCCATTACCGCCTGCTGCTAACCACCATGATGCCCAGTGTGCATTAAGTAATGCAGGGAATGTAGGACAACCTCAGTCTTAAATAGCAAGCTTCATAAAACACTGAAAACACCTCTTAGGATAAGTTGTATGAAAGCACATTGCATTTACCAAAGAAAAATAAAATTGGAGACTTAATTTTGTAATTTTGACCTCCGTTATAATTATGAAAAAGATCTCATGACAAATCTGTGTGATTTTTCTTTTATATTTCAATTGACTTGACATTCCCGATCTGTATACTGCTGTAATCTCTTTGCACTGTTGAAGTCAGAGAACTGACTTCAAAGTGTATTTTAGACATTAATTTTTTGACACAATCCTCCACTAAATCTCTACAGGTGATATTGTTGTCCTGACTTTAACCTACTCTTTTCCCCCCCTACAGCATGCCTTCTTTGTGTTTCTTTACCAGACGAGTCTAATCACAGTTTATCTTTGTGTCTTCTCTCATCTCCAGTCCGTTCTATGGGGAGGACTTCTATTGCGAGATCCCACGTAGCTTCAGACATCTCTCCTTCTACATCTTCGACAGGGACGTCTTCAGGAGGGACTCCAGTATCGGTGAGTAAACAGCAGCTCTATCTGTTGTAAATTACCCATATACCCATAACCGAGTTTGGAAAATTAATTGAGACTGGATTTATTGTGTGTATTTAAAGGAGAAAAAAGCCTCATGTTAGAGGCTTTACTGTGATTTTACAGGAGCAAAAGCAATGCCCCAGGCGGCTTTTTTACTTTCATGAACAATCAGCAGCATTCTGCTGTGTTATAAAGGATAACTTTATTTTTTTGTGTGTGTAATTTATGTGACTTGTAATGTCTGGGTGCGCTTCAGACTCTTTTTTCAAATACACACTGTAACGACAGTTCTTTTAAAAAAAAAAATGAATTACTGAGCTTTTAAGTTAGCGGTTTCCCCCTGTTTACAGTCTTTATGCTAAGCTAAGCTAGCCGGTTGCTGGCTATAGCCTCAAACAGACGGACATAGGAGTGGTATTGATATTCTTCTAACTCTACATACTCTACTCTCCACATATTTCACAAAATGTCTAATTATTCCTCTAAGAGCAATTTACAGAGTAACCTTCCTTGAATAAAAATCTAATCTAAAATTGGCAACATTTTCAATGAAGTCTGGTACCATCTCATCTTAGTTACAGTTTTAGCACATAAAAAGTGTGTGTCTGCACGTCTGTTTGCATGTGGGTGGATGTTGTATCAGTGTTATTGGGTGTGTCAATGTGTTGTATGTGACCACCAGCCACAAACAGAAAAACCTTTCTCAGGGTGTGATTTGTATCTTCAACACTATCACTGCTGCTGTTTGTGTGTGTGTTTGGGTGTGTGTGTGTGTGTGTTGGTGGATGTTGTAAACAAAAATCGAATAGCTAGTTTCAGGATAGAAATAACAGGGTCATTTCTAGGCCACCGACTGCGTACTTTCTTGAGTATTTCTGCACCTGGTGCCTGCATGCATTTGAAAGGAGATTGGCACGTGGATTGACAGTGTGTGAGCAGGCATGTGAGTGTGTGTGGTTGTTTGACGTTTGTAACTCACATCTGAACACGTAGGTTTTTTTTTTGTAAGAGCTGTAAAGTGATATTTGGAGCTCATTTGTCTTTCTTTCTTAATGTGTGTGTAGGCAAGGTTGCGGTGAAGAAGGAGGACCTGCAGAAATATCATGGCAAAGACACCTGGTTTCAGCTACAGCCTGTCAGTGCTGACTCAGAGGTGCAGGTCAGTACAGAGTGAAAACACACACACACACACACACACACACAATGCTTGTTCAGCTGCTTGTGTTTAGACAATATTTAAAGCAAGATTTCCATAGATTCTTAACAGATACCTCAGTGGCGGAGTAGCAGAGATAATCAGGCCTTTGTTTGAGACAGGTTCATTTTAGAGCCTTTTTTTCCTAATGAATGCAAATTCAAAACTTTTACGGCACTAATCCCATCAGTACAATAACAGAGTCCTGTCAGGTGTTCCACTTTGCCTTTCCCTATGAACAAGTTACCATGAATTGAACTCAACACTTCTTACAAAAGTTTTCCACTAGGGAGTCTTGGAGCCTTCTCTTTATTTGTCTGCTTTTAACATAAAAAAATCAGTATGTTTTGTTGACTTTAACTTAACAGTGAAATGTATGTATTGTGTAAAATATTTAAACGACACCCAGCCTCACCCTGCATACAGTATGTGTGATATGTGTCTGCATGTCAATGTTTGAAGCAGGGCAGAACCCAAACAAACACAGCATGTGTGTACCTGAAACATCCGAGCCTGCAGGGTCAAAGTCACCCGGCTCTCCATGTACACTGTAGATCCCCTTCGTTCACCTCCATCACAGCTCGGTCTGTGATCAGGAGTGAACATGTAGCTATGATAAAGTATGTGTTTGGGTGACAGGTTGTGATATTGATTTGCTAGAATAATAACAAGATGCCATTGGATATTACAGAAATATGTTCATGATTGTATAATGGAGGTAAAAGCAAATAATTCACATTGTTTTGGGGAAATATTGAGAGACAACACTGACTGAAATGTTCACTTTAAATCTCAAATGTTTGCACTTAATCCTACTTTTTGTCATTAATCTTTACTTAAGGAATTATATGCATGTGTGAGTCTTTCTAAACGGTGCAACTGGTCTCCTTGGCTGTCGCCTGAGGTCAAAGGTGCACATTTTCTCACATTGTTCATGTTACTGAAACATTGAGAAACAAACAGGATGGCTCTAAACTTTATTCCAAACATTAGGGAACAACTGAGTGTGTGGATCACTGAGAATGTGCACGTTTCCAGTCTGCTGCTGTTTGTGACAAGTGCAACAAGTGGAGGAAAGGCACGAATCGTGGAAGTAAAAGTGAATTTTAGTAGCTTTTTCTGAGTGACAAATGGTGTATCTACCATGCAGTCAGCACCTCCCATTGGGGTATTCTTAACAACTTATATGCAAGCTAAAAAGAGAATGTTATTATGCACACTTCTGAGTATTTGACCTAAGTTTGGGAAAATCAACTTATCACTGATTTCTGAAATCGTCTAGTAATCGTGTTTGGAGCTGTTTACCAACATGCTACTTTAATACATGTGCAACATTTATACTATTCAGTATTCAGCAGTTTTACTCACCCACAGGCATGTTTACACGCACACACACACACACACACACACACACACACACACACACACACACACACACACACACATACACACACACACTCACCCTGGACATAGTACTACACACACACACACACACACACACACACACAGACAGTCAGATACACAGTGAACAGTAACATCTGCAGACAGATGGGTGTGTGTAGCCCTGGAGCAGGGATCTGAAACAGAGACACATTCATCCAAGGAGCCGGGGAGAGGAAGGATGTGTGAGAGAATGAGAGAAAAGAGAGAAAGCGAGGGAGATGGATCAAATGAAGTAGGAAGATAGAGTGTCTCTCTTCTCTTTTCAATAGAGGACACATTGTTTGGCCTGTGCGCACATGTGTAAGTGCGTGTGTTTGTTCCCTTTGCTTGAATCGGCCAGAAAGAGAAACGCCTGTGAGTTTGCATACTGATGCTGTTAATTAATGGAGCTTTTCTAGACAGCTGCAGCGCTACACTGTCATTATGTCATTAATCCAATCACTTCAGAGGGAAAAATAACTTCAGCATGACGTTTGAGTTCGCAGCTATTTTCATACAGAGTGTTTGTTGGTGGAGGAATGCCACTTTTTTCACATTTGTGTATTTTTGTTTTGTTAAGGGATTCATTAAAGAAGAATTATTGTTTATTAGTGTATTTTTTGCTCATTCTGATCATGCCATCGCCCATTACCAGTCAGTGCTTAAGATGTAGGATAGGATATGTATATGATATCACTCTGTTCGGCAGTACTCGGAGGGTTCAAAACTGTCAATTATGTCTAAGAGCGAAGCAGCTGAACTCCACATTGTCCCATGAAAATGATGTAACTCCACGTTTGGTGAATAATATATTTGAAGGATTACATGTTTTTATGAGTTGAAACCCCATGGTTGAATCCATCAGATTATTCATTGTGAGAGATGGATTGTCATCAAGCCTGGTTTGAAAAGCTGACATTTTTAGATTGGATTAAGTCGCTCATTATCGTCAGAGTCAGCAGTAATTTGTCTTGCATCACAAGCCAACTCTATTTCACACACACACACACACACACACACACAGTAACAATGTACTTGTCACTGTGTACCTTTCTGTGAGGTGGACACAGGCGAGATCCAGACGCTGAAGTGTTCGTAAGTACTTTGCATTTAAATTCAAAAGTGTGTGCATAAAAATAGTCTGTTTGTGTTTTCTGCAGGGAAAAGTGCACCTGGAGCTGCGTCTGAGTGAAGTCATCACAGACAGTGGAGTCATCAACCATAAACTAGCCACAAGGTAAGACTGCGCAACCACACACACACACACACACACACACACACACACACACACACACACACACACACACACACACACACACACACACAAAAGTCCTTTCCTTTTCATTTAATTTAATTTTCTTTTTTATAAAAATGATTTTAATGTAAAGAATTACAGGATGTGTCCTGTAGTCACAAGGATTATTGAAAAATAAACAGAGAACAAGGATTTCACAGCTTTATCATATATGAAAGACCCAAGTTAGGGCTCACTGACTCACTCTCCTGTCAGCTGCTGTCTTTTAGCCACACCGTAGGTCGGCCCACCACTTTGGTCCAAATTGAAATACCTCAAAAACAGTTGGATGGATTGACATAACATATTGTACAGTCATCCATCATCCCCAGAGGATGAATCCTGGTGACTCTGGTGATACCCTGACTTTTCCTCTAGCGCCACCATCAGGTCAGAAGATCACTTTGTTTATGACCAAATACCCACAAAACATTCCCATCAGCCACAGCTGCACTTTGTGTTTAGTGCTAATTAGCAAATGTTAACATGCTAACACACTAAACTAAGATGGTGAACAAGGTTGATATTATACTTGCTAAACATCAGCATGTTAGCAGAATGAAGTACCTAGTTAACGTTAGTACTAATTCCCACTCAATAGTTTACTCAATAGTTTACGCAATAGTGAGCAGTAAAATGAGATTTCGGACACTTACCATTACATCATAATTTCGCGTCCTCACTGACAGCTGTTAAGTCATGCAACTGCAATTTTGCATCCATAAAATGCATGGCTTGTTGCCCGGCAACAGCTTTTACCTGGCAGTGAGATGGTTAAAGGTCGGAGGTTTTTTGTTTATAATAAATCCCCTTTTGAATGTGTGACTCAAAACATTGTGGATGTGAAAGTCATGAGCTCATAACTCTGCCTTTACTACGTTGTTTTCTGTTTGTGTTGCTGTGCAAATGTGATTGTACATGCATGTGATGTGTGAACTTTAGTGTTTGCAGGGGATTAATGGTATGTATATAGATGGATTATTCTGTGTGTATGTGTGTGTGCTTGTTCTTCTCTAACATGTAGCAGTAAAGTCTGATGATGAGCCAGTGTGGCTCCGTTCCCAGAGCACATTGTTGGTAAGGAGCTTAGAACAGGAGGTCATCTAGTCAGATTTCTCTAGGAAGACACGTGTATGAGTGCGGGAGGTATGAGTGTCCATTCAGCTCAAACTAGCCAATTGAAAGACATCATGATCTTTTATTTATCACAGCATGTTAAAGTGCATTTAGCCTCACTTAACATAATTACCTAAGAATATGATACATAAAGTACAAAAATGCAAACACCTACTTCTATTTGATGATACTTTATACTGATACTTATATCTATACATTTTAGAAGGAAATCTACTTTTTTACTCCTCTGCATGTATCTGACAGCTATAGCTACTACTTACTTTGGTCATCGTATAAAATATGATGTGTTATAGATTAAACCACCCAACAGTACATAAAGCTAAAATCAGCACTACCCCTAACAACTACAATGGTAAAATACGGTTTATAAATGAATGAGTCAGTAACAATAACCAAATAATATACTGTATAATAACACTCTTGTTGGCCGTTTTTTGCGTTTACTTTCTATACGTTAAGCACATTTTTCTACCAATACTTCTGTACTTATACTGAAGTAATCCTTTTTACTTGAGAGATTACTCCACTGATTTAGGATTGCACTCCTATAACATTGTCAGATTCACGGTGAAAACGTTTTTAAAAAAGTATACATTTGCTGCAGCAGAACCAGAGAAATTATTTTCCTTCCACGCCGCGAGCCGTTAATCTCAAGCACAGATGAGGAGCGGGCTACCGAGGTTTGGTGAGCTTCCTTCTAACATCATTCACCCTCATTTTCACACTTGTTTTCTTCAGCACAAGCTGACACTTACTCAAGGGACATCACTTGAGTCAGTCTATCGGAATTTGCACAGCTCCCTCTGCAGCCACAAAAGGGCGGTCTGTGACGTGTAAAAAAAATGATGTAGTTCCCCTTTAAGTAATAGTTTGAATGGAAGTGTTTTTACAGTGTGGTATTGTAAATGATTTACTCAAGTAAAATACTTAAATACTTTTACCTAAAATTCTGTCATATAGAAATGTAGCTGGTTGTACAATACCATGAATGACATCTGAGGATAGGATTATATAATTTCTCTTATATAGAACAGGGCACTCGTCAATGACCCTGAATCATAATCACATCCGCTTTGTATGTGTGGTTTTGGCGCTGTGATGTAATTTGTTTCCCTTTTATTTTAGTAAAATAGTTTTTGACAAGGTACGTGGGAGTTGACAAGAAGCACATTAACCTAAAATGAGTAATGTCGACTAAAACAAATAAGTCTGCTTCACCACCACTGTCTGGCATGTCAGAGCTCACCGCGGTGATGAGAGAGAAAAGGGCTGGATAGTAGGGCAAGCAGGGGTTATATAAACAAGCTTATTGGACAGGAAGCGCATTAGTGATGCTTAACCCAAGCCACTCCTTATTTCTTATTAGGGACCTGTGTGTGTGTGTGTGTGTGTGTGTGTGTGTGTGTGTGTGTGTGTGTGTGTGTGTGTGTGTGTGTGTGTGTGTGTCAGCAGGATGGTGCAAGCTGTTGCTTGTGTGTCAATTCAGTTGTGAGCAGGGCTGTGAGTTTCTAATTCATCATGCGGTGTGAGTAGTGGTGCATCACTGTGACACACAGGAAGTGATTCATCCCGCTGGGTGTCCTGTCCTGTTTGGGTGCTAATCCCCTTACAGCATGATGTCATTGGATGGATGGATGGATGGATGGATGGATGGATGGATGGATGGATGGATGGATAGATAGATAGATAGATAGATAGATAGATAGATAGATAGATAGATAGATAGATAGATAGATAGATAGATAGATAGACAATTTTTTATTACTTTCTTCAAAGTCAGAACTTTACATACACTAAGATTACTATGCCTTTAAACAATTTGGGAAAGCCCAGATGATGATGTCATGTCTTTGGAAGCTTCTGATTTATTGACAACATTTGAGTTAATTAGAGACACACCTGTGGATGTATTTTAAGGCACACCTGAAACACACTGCTTCTTTGTGTAACATCATGGGAAAGTCAAAAGAAATCAGCCAAGATATCAGGAAGAGAATTGTGGACTTGCACAAGTCTGGTTCATCCTTGGGTGCAATTTCCAGATGCCTGAAGGTGCCACGTTCATCTGTTCAAACAATTATACGCAAGTATAAGCACCATGGGAATGTCCAGCCATCATACCGCTCAGGAAGGAGACGGGTTCTGTGTCCCAGAGTTGAACGTGCTTTTGGTCCATGGTCCTGTGAAATACGGGGGTGGCAGCATCATGTTGTGGGGTTGTTTTGCTGCAGGAGGGACTGGTGCACTTCACAAAATAGATGGCATCATGAGGAAAGAACATTATGTGGAAATACTGAAGCAAGATCTCAAGACATCAGCCAGGAAGTTAGAGCTTGGGCGCAAATGGGTCTTCCAAATGGACAATGACCCGAAGCATACTGCCAAACTGGTTACAAAGTGGCTTAAGGACAACAAAGTCAATGTTTTGGAGTGGCCATCACAAAGCCCTGATCTCAATCCTATTGAACATTTATGGGCCGCAGAGCTGAAATGGCATGTGCGAGCAAGGCGGCCTACAAACTTGGCTCAGTTACACCAGTTCTGTCCGGAGGAATGGGCCAAAATTCCTGCCAACTATTGTGAGAAGCTTGTGGAAGGATATCCAAAACGTTTGACCCAAGTCATACAGTTTAAAGGCAATGGTATCAAATACTAATGAAATGTATGTAAACTTCTGACTTTCAAGAAAGTCATAAAAACATTGTCTAAAAAATTCTCTCTCTCATTATTCTGGCATTTAGCAAATAGAAATAATCTTGGTAATCCTAATTGACCTAAAACAGGAAAAGTTTAATCTGATTTAATGTCAGACAGAGAGAAAAAAGAGATTATGTGTCTTTTTATACACTGTATGTAAACTTCTGGTTTCAACTGTATATTATTGCCATTATCTATGACATAGTGTTGTAATGAATGTGTATGGTGTAAGTAGTTGGAGGTCTTGCCACTATAATAAAGGCTTTTTAAATAGAAAATTAAATTATCCATTTGCGTGTTTGACTGTTTTCTGAATAGTAATCAGATGCGTGGTCCTTGAATGAACACTATTGCCATTGAAACATCTGTTTCTATCATTAATGTACTGTGGAGAGAATATTATCTAGACAACATTATACTAGAACTTCATGTCTTCGTGTATGCATACTTTGTACTGCATGCACAATTTTCAGTGTGACTTTTCTACATGCAAAAAATCCTTTGGAGATCAGAGATGTTTGAGTCGTACTTTGGGCCGACGTTTGTGGTTTAAATCCTACCTGGGTTTTTTTTTCTGTATCTCCCTTATACTCAGTCTGATCTCTCTACCACAGTCAGGAGTCTGTCCCTTTTCCTCAAGATATACTTTCCTCTGCCTTTTATTTTACTTTATTCTCAAGTGTGCCGTGTATGTATCATTTCGCCAACAGCCCAAACAGAATTACTTCTCTCCACCTCTGTTCATCTGTCCCTCTCTCTGTGTCTGCCCTTCTTACAGACACACCTTGACATTGTCACCAGGGGCGATTTTCACATGCCAAAAATACTCTGAGAGCACTCTTAACTTGGTCCAAAAATTTACAAGCAAGGACTCCCAGCATAGGAGTGAGCTACAGTATGAATGGACCAGATGTTTTATGTCTGTGAAAAGGGGGCGGTTGACTGGATTGTCTGATGTAATGCTGTTTTTAGATGTAGTTTTTCGGTCAATAGAAAAATGCCTCCTTGAGTCACAATTAAGTTTATGATCATGTGACGATTAATAAATAATAATTTCCACAGATGATGAGGATTTTTGTAGATGCTAATTGTTTTTAAACTCACTAGAGAAGTGTTTGCACCTGGTTAGGCTAAATATAAGTTTTTCACAGCAGACGTTTTTACATTTCATAGCTGGAAAGGCATTGGTGTAATTACTAATAATGAATTATGGCTGCAAGTTTAAGGGCCTCTGGCTTTGCTTAATGGCACACTTAAACCTACAGTATGTAATTTCTGCCGCTACGGGGTCTCTCACATCCAAACAATAACAAGTTGAAGTTTGATGATATTGATGGGAGCCATGTCTTCACCACCATTGCCATTATTGCAGGCAACTTCTCCCAGTTAGGATTCCTTCAGTGTTCCTTGTTCAGGAGTTTTTTTTCACTGGCAACCGAATTATCTGCAGAGATTTCCTCCTCTCCAAAACAAACGGATCCAGTGCATAAAACCTGTAAAAACACAGAATAAATCAGTTTCATCTTAAAAAATCAGCTTTTAACCTTTGTCAATTAGTATTAATACAATTTCAGATTATTTTAAGGTGCTTATTTAAAAGGCTTTAGGTGTTTTAAGTATTTATTAAATAGGGATTCTTTTTGACACTTTAATACTCTATAAGCTACATTTTGTGTATTAAGGGAGTATGGCTCCATGTGTGCATTCTTACAGAAATCTGATGAGATTTAGCTTCCTCTTGTTTCACACTGTCGAGGAGGGCTGATGAGAGTTGTAAGCTTTGTTGTTGTAGCTGTTTGCGTGGGCCAATGGAGCTAAAAGCTTTGCAGAGGTGTAGGATTGGGTGTCAATTCTCAGTGGTCTTGGCAGTGCTGGTGACCTTTTCACATTAGTCCTTTGATGAAGTGATAATACAGAGCTTAATAGAGCTTTAAGAGTCCTCTGAGAGTATACTCAGATTGCATTGTGTGGCCCCCGGCATTTACATTTTAGAGATCCTTCTATCCTGTTCCTTTTTTTTTTTGCTGTGCTTGTCCTAGCTTTGCATAGTGTAGCTCTGTTAGCATAGAGTAAAACACTTTAACATAATAAAGATACTTGTTTAAAAAAGCTTTTGTCTGTATTAGGTTTTAAATGTTTTTTTTTTACCGTTTAACTTTTAGTTCTATCACTGGATGAGATCATACAAAACTAATGGTGCATTAAAATTTGCGTCATGTTAATGTGTTACAGCTATGAGTGTGTGTGTGTGTGTGTGTGTGTGTGTGTGTGTGTGTGTGTGTGTGTGTGTGTGTGTGTGTGTGTGTGTGTGTGTACAAGTCTATTCTTGTAGAGTAGTGTGCTTATTCATTAATGGTTTGTGCGTGTTTCTACAGAGTGTTGGAGTGCCAAGGACTTCCAATTGTCAACGGCCAATGTGATCCCTACGCTGCTGTCTCCCTACTAGGACCTTCAAGGTCAGATCTCACACGACTTGACATGCTTTCATCAGTCACCAAACACAACTTTGTTCATCACGTGGAGGAACTTTGGATAAACGTGGTTTTATCTCCTTCTGCCTTTCTGCTTCTCTCAGGTCGGAAGCCAAGAAGACCAAGGTGAAGCGGAAAACCAACAATCCACAGTTTGAGGAGGTTTTCTATTTTGAGGTATGTGTGATTTTAATTAAACATTAAAGAACTGTGTGTAGGATTTAGTGGCATCCGGGAGTCAAGTTTCTGATTGCAACTAACTGAACACCCCTCGCGTCTGTATTTGACAATCTGGGAATGAGAACAGGCTGTGAAGTGTGTAGGAGAAACAAAAAAGGTCACAAACCTTGGGATTATAAAATTTGGATGCAGTCTGAGTGGTTTCAGATATTAAGGTTCATAGTTGTCATAACCTAGATAGCAAAACTGACATGCAGTAAAGATGTCTTTTATTGGTCATCCTAAATATATTCTAAACATAAAATCAAAGTCCTACCTTGTCTGAATTGTTTTTTAGAACAGATGTTTTGCCTTCTAACTCAGAGTTACTAGGTAGTCATTGTTGCTAATAAATGTTAATAAATGTGCTGTGTAATTGACATCAACCAGCTAGTTGACTAGCATAATAACGCTAGCTTTCACCAAATTCAAACAATATAAAAAGGACTCTCACCTTAACTAGTTGACATATTTTTATTGAAATCCTAACAGGTTGTGGGCTTTTGTATATGTATATATATTTGTTAAGGTTTATGTAAAAGGAATTCAGAAAAAACAGCAGAAACAACAAAATGTTTACAGCAAAAAACATGTCACAGTTTAACATTTTCAGATATTTCGTACAATCACGCTCAGAAACTCCCTTTTATAAAGTCAGTACTGACGAGGTTCGTGTGATAAAAGTTCAGAAAAATTAGCAAAAGCAACTGGAAACCTGAAATTTGCAGTATTTTGGTTTTTAAAAAAAATATCTTTTAAAAAATGGTTGACATTCCTTTATATTCATGAGTTTATATTTATAGATATTTTTCATACACACACACTCCCTTTCACTCTGTCCCCGTTAACCCTCGATCACCAGCAGCACCACTCTCACATTTTTGTGTCGCCCCTCCCTCTGGCCTCCCCGCTGCAGCACTAGAAGACAGCAGGACAACAGTATGATTGATTCGGACAAACCACCAAACAATCTGGCCCATTGATTTCTACCCGACAAGACCGTCTCATTTATTCCCCACCACCACATGAGCAGGACCCTGTGGTGCCTTCTGCTTGCAGCCCCCCTCTGAGTCACCCACAGAGGTCCACGTCCACACCCAAACACAGGCCCATCTATCTTGTTTCTGTCATGGGGTTGTCCTTTTTTATTATATAGAAATGTAATTTTTTTCATTGCTCCAAATTAACACAGACCCTGCCACATTGTGATCTTTGATAATTCCCATTTGCTTCTAAATCTGCCAGATAGTGAGCTTAGAGTGTGATTTGGGTCAAGGCTTGTTTTGGCCTAGTTAAAAAGAAAACAACTACTAATTTCAACCAAAATCAGGTTTTCCACACAAATTATATAATTTGCTTTGCAATGTAATAGTGAAGCTCCTGATGTCTCAATTAGGGCTGCAATTTACAATTATTTTCGTTATTTGTTAATGTGCAGATTACTTTCTTAATAAATTATTTGATGTGTAAAACGTTGGAAATTAGTCTAAGGTGACATATTCAAACTGCTTTTTTTTAGTCAAGACGGTAAAGAACAAAGAAACAAATTTTACAGTCATAAATGACAAAGAAGTCAGAGAAATATTCTGTAAATCAATTAATCAACTCATTGTTTCAGCTTTAGTCTCAATAATCTGTGTTTGCTTCCACCAGCCTCCCATACCAGGAGGATATCCTTACTTCTACATGTTTTATACTCAGTGTTTATGTCCATTCCTAGGTGACGCGGCCATTAAGCTACACAAAGCGGCAGTTTGACGTTGAAGAAGAGGATGTTGACAAGCTGGCCCTGAGGTGAGCCAGTAGCTGTCTTTAGGGGCTTAGGAGACAATGTGTCAGTGACTTGGTGTCGTCTAAAGATTCTCCCGTGTCTGAAATGTATCCTGTGGTTTGTGTTCAGGGTGGATCTGTGGAACGCCAGCAACCTGAAGTTCGGGGACGAGTTCCTGGGAGGTGTGCGTGTTCCTCTCCGGGTCCTGGGTCAGGCAGGGGTCCACGACGCATGGTGAGAGGAAACTTCATTCACACATCGCATCCTCCTCCTTTCACACACTCCCCTCTGGACCCGTCAATCATTTCAGCTCTGTTTTATGTCCCCCCCCCACTGGACAAGTACTGTGCTGTACCCCTGCTGGGGCTGGGTGGGTTTGATTTCATTATCATTGACATTCTGAGTATGTGTTGCCATAGCAACGGCAGGGCCGTAGCAACAAGTATCAACACCGACAACAAGCCTTCTTTAAAGTTTTTTTATTCAACCAGGGCAGATTTCGCTGAGTATGAATGGTCTTTTCCCACATTGCTGAATCAACAGAGCCTGTTTTTGTATTTTGCCTCAGACTACATGTTTCTTTTGGAAGACTCGACACTTTGCCTCAGTGAATGATGGGAGCTCTGCTTTGGAAATGACGAGAATAAAAGTCCAGTTCAGAGTGGAATAATTGCTCCCGTACATTTAGTAACACAATTTTATCGACAGTTAAACCTTCATCAATTTGCAACACGCTGTGAACACAACACTGACATATAATATTATGAAGTTGATAAGAACGTATTTACACATCAAGTAGGCACTTAGCAACATTGGCACGTGTTTGGAGCTGAGTTTCTGGTCTAATATTCACTCTGTTTATAGCCCTCTTTTGATATCCAACAACTCTTGAGGAAAATATGGGGCTCTTGAACTGCTGAAGGATCAACAACAGTGTTAGTCTCTAACTGTGCCTGTGTGCAGTGGGGTGCTGGGCAGGTAGCGTACAGTGTTTCTTTTTTTTTTTTAGAACGTTTTCACTGAACAGCTGCCAGAGAAGAAGTTGATGGGAGCAGTGTGATTGAGCCAAAACAATAAAGTTTTGCCCCATAAAAACAAAACAGGCCATAGAGCTCTGTAGAGCTGAGGGAATCAGTCATGTGATGTTTCTCTGTGGGTTCGTCAGTACAAGCAACGATGAGCAGCTTTCACATCATCATTTTTATTATCATTAACATAATAATATTGGTTAATTGGTTGATCTTAGATCTTGCTTTTTTTCTTCTTCAGGTACTTTCTCCAGCCCAGGGAGAACGGAGGAAAGTCGGTGAAGGTAGAAGAGCTCGGCTCTCTGCGTCTGAACATCGTTTACACTGAGGACCACGTCTTCCCCTCTGAACACTACACTCCCCTCAGAGATCTGCTGCTGCACTCTGCTAACGTAGGGGTAGGTGCACCTGCATGTGGCTCTGCTCTGCTCAGACATATTTTGGTGTCCCGCAGCATCTTGTACGGTTCACTGCTTTACACTTTTAAATGTTACGTGTTCACTCCTCCCCGTTCAGCCTGTGTCAGCGTCCACGGCTCATATTCTGGGGGAAGTGTGTCGAGAGAAACAAGAAGCCGCCATTCCCCTCGTGCGTCTGTTTCTTCACTATGGCAAGATTGTGCCTTTCATCAGCGCCATCGCTCACGCTGAAGTCAACCGCACACAGTGAGTGTCTTATCGGATCTTTTCACATTGAATAAGACCAGAAACCATATCTCACAACTAATACTTGTCACAATTGACCCTTCCAAGAACTCCTGTTGCTCTGTGTTCCTCAGCCAACTTTCCCCTTTGCTGTGTGCTAAGTTCGTATGTGTTGAAAAGAGAATTACATTTTGAAGATTTTTAAAAGATTTATAGTCACAAGGTAGCTAATGTGAACAAAATCCCTGCCTTAACTTGAATGGGAATAAATGAGTTAATTTTGCTTCTTCTTTCACAAAGTAACCTTATGGGGAAAAGTCTTTTTGGACCAGTATGTGCCACGTGACCGACGCAATTGCTGTAATTAGACGGTTCAGCCACTACAAATTGGCTTCAAAGCCTGGCGCACTTCCTGTGGGCTTGAAATCTACATCAATCATTAGCTAGCTTATCTACATTATTTTTTAGCTAGCTAGCTAGATGTGACATATATATATATATATATATATATATATATATATATATATGCCATTCATTATTTTTTAACCATCTTTAAAATTTGGTTGTCTTTTCAACACAGAAGAGCCTAGCACACAGCATACCTCAGGACTTAGGAAGGGTCAATTCAGTTGCATAAATTCATCTCTCATCTTGCGGACATAGTTATAGGAAACATAGTTATTTTATTAGAGATTATTAATTAAAGTGACTTTCCAAATTAGGTCATCAGATTTATCTACAAACACAAATAAGCTCTGAATTTCTATTTGACTGTAAAAACAAATATAGACAGCCACAGTAATGTTATTTATTAAATTACTCTTACAAAATCACATTGTTTATTAAGTTGCAGTTTTAATTTGTATTGAAAAAACAAACACACTCTGCCTCTCTGTGTAGGGATCCTAACACCATTTTCCGGGGAAACTCGCTGACTTCCAAGTGCATCGATGAGACCATGAAGCTGGCAGGAATGCACTATCTGCAAGTCACACTCAAACCCATCATAGATGAGGTATGGCACTGCGATACTTTCATGTTTGTTTCCTAGTATTTCATTTGGTATGTCTTGATTTAGTCCATGTCATTTGTCTTAGTTATCAGTTATGTATGGATATTTCAGTACTTTTATAAATCGTCACAGATCTGCACAGAACATAAACCCTGTGAAATCGACCCGGTCAAGCTCAAAGAGTCGGAGAACCTGGAGACGAACAGGGTAAGAGGATGAGTGCGTTTATTTGTTTGTGTGTTTGTTTGTGAGTCACTGTGTAATCTGACATATCTGCCCCTCTTCAGGAAAACCTTCGTCATTATGTAGACCGTATCTTCAATGTTATCACCACCTCTGGCGTTCGCTGTCCAACCGTCATGTGCGATATCTTCTTCTCTTTGAGAGAGTCTGCTGCCACCCGTTTCCAAGGTAACACACCTCCTGAATGAGGGAGATAGAAGAGAATGAAGCAAATTGCTAACAAGGAACAGGAAATAGAAAATAAAGAACAGGATGTGCAAGACGTCCAAGGACACTTTGTGCTCTGCTGTTTGTGTCAAACCTGAAAACAATTAAGCCTCCTACACACTTATTATGGTTATGTGGAGTGTTGAGTATGTACTCCCTTTGTCATATACTGTGCTGCCCCCTGTTGGTAATCACAGGACACTGCAGTCACAGGCTGAACAAGCACACATGATAAAAACTGATAATTTAGGTTTTATTTCTGTCATGGCATAGCAAAAACATCAGACAATATGATTATGACATACTATGTAGACATATTATGACGTACTATATGCTTTCAATCAACATATTTATGTGGGAAAAAAAATCCAAATATATTCTCCACTAAAAAGAACTGCTACAAGCCTACAGTTTAAAGGGTTTTTTCTAATCTCCCAGGCTTTCTTTAAAGGACTGGCTAATGTAAATGTTTCCTATGTGAACTGCAACTCAGTCTTTGTGTATCATCCGTATTTACAAAATAAATTTAAAAAAAATTTATTATTCAGCCTTCTTCCAGACTGACTGTATATAATGTCTTAGATGTAATTTAAGCAATAGTGCGTGTGATAAATCATTGTTTTTGTTTTTCTGCTGTCTAGTCGACCAAGATGTCCGTTACACAGCAGTGAGCAGTTTTATTTTCCTGCGTTTCTTCGCTCCAGCCATCCTCTCCCCCAACTTGTTCCATCTACGGCCGCATCATCCAGTGAGTCTGTTTTTTTTTTTAAACCACATACATGTGCACACATCCCTGTGAAAATAAGTGCTGCTGGAGACCTTGGAAACAGTAGTTTCGGATTATATCACATGCTTTTCATCAGCAGGGTTGATTTAGTTGCATTTTTTTCACATTAAGGTCTTCTTGTGCCTGTCTTTTCTCTGTAGGATCCTGCCACCTCTCGAACCCTCACCCTCATCTCCAAGACGATCCAGACCCTGGGAAGTCTCGCCAAGTCTAAATCTGTGCGTTTCTCTGATTAAAGTGTATTTTTCTATTTTCATAATTCAGACAAGTTAAATTCAAACACAACTTGCTGATCTTTCTCTCTCTCTGTCACTCTTTACTGTTCCGTACTTTCATTCCTCTCAAGGCCAATTTCAAAGAGTCTTACATGGCTGCATTTTATGACTACTTCAATGAGCAGAAATATGCGGATGCTGTGAAGAATGTGAGTGTTTGTTTTCTTTCCTCGTTACACGCAGTAAATTTCATCCAGTTTGTAGACATATAATCAAATACTCTTTTTGTCTTGTACATCAGCTGAGGATGAACTCTGATAAATGGATAATTGAATGTGTTTCTGAACACGAGTGGAGATATTTGAAAAGAACTGAAATAGTCTAGTGGATGGAGGAGATGTCAAAGTGTGGTTTGAGTGAACAAAAGTTACCACCACAATAAATATGCTGATATATGATATCCTTTACTTCCCACCACAGTTCCTGGACCTGATCTCCACCTCTGGCAAATGGGATCAGAAGAGCATTGAAACACCAATCATGCTCAAAGAGGGGTAAGAAGCCAACTTATTGTTAAACTGATAGTCAAGGAAAGAAACCCCACAAATAAACAAAAAATATATGCCTATACAGCTCTCTCCGTACCACTGCTAAGAAGTCCAATATATGTAATATTACATTATTATAGAGAATTTATCGAACTGTCTTTTGTACGATGGCTGTTACCGCAACGTCAGTCACCTTTTCACTGCTAGTTAAGCATTTTTGTCCTTTTACCACCATGTCACATTGTCTTGGCACTTTCTAATTTCTAGCTTCAGACAAGACAGTTGGGCTGAACTGTCCAGACTCAGGGAAATTTGAGACATTGTGGGAAATATTTGCTTTCTGGCAGAGGGTTACATGAGAAAAATGATACCACTCACATGTCTGTATGGTAAATATGATCCTACAGCGAGCAACTGGTTAGACTAAACAGGGGAAAACAACAAGCCTGGCTCTGTACAAGGGGACCATAATCTGCCTACCAGAACCTCTAAAGCTCACTTATTAACACATTATGTGTCATTCATTTGAATGCGTACAAAAACTAGTTGTAAACTTAAAAGTAGAAAAAGTGCTTGTTCTCTTTCATGAGGCATTTTATGCTTGACTATTTCCATTTCCTGGAAGCCAGTAACTTATTTGAGTCTATGCTGGTTGCCTGGCAACTGCTCATAGGCAGGGAATAGTGGACACATAACCTCCTGTAAAACGACAGATTAAACATGTTGATTAGTGAGCTTTAGAGGTGCTATATTTATCACACAGACTGAGGAGTGGTATCAATCTTTTCATCCTACTCTCCGCGAATAAATGGGAATACGTGTATTTTCCAAATTGTCAAACGAGTCCTTGAAGTTGTCACAGAAGTGGAGCTGGATTTTCCCTGTACATGTTTGACCCCTCATGGTCTGCTTCATTTTCAAAGTTATAGTAGAGATATAGAAAGCAGAAGATATACCTGAGACTGTAAACTGAGCGCTTTCTAACAACACATGGGCGGTTGTTTTGATGATATTCCTAATGAGGCTGTAAAGGGGAGGACAGATTCCAGTTGAAAAAGTAGTTGTGCCAGCGCCTCGCTCATCAACATCCCCCACCCTCTTTTGTTTCTGCTACCGGGCGTAGGAGTGTAAAACTCACAATAAAGAGGGTTGATGGGAAGGGGTCAAAAGGCACGAAGGGCAGGTAAGAGCTTCTCTATATAAAGGCTTTTGCCCTTGTGACCCCCTGTGTGTGCACTGTAACCCCCCCAAACCGAGCCGGCCATTTTCTCTCCCACCAACATCATGCGCTACAGTAGATGCTGCTGCACTTTACTTTATATCTGGCCTACATGTAAGCAACTTATCAAGCAACTGTTACACTGTCTGACACTGTGTGATGGATTTGAAGTCTTTCTGCATTCATAGGGCAGTAGACTGATGCGTACAGTGACCATAATGATATAAAGTAAAGTGTTAACCTTTAAGCCTGCTTACCTAGGAGGCGTCACTAGTGCTGGTAGCCCTTTCTGTTCCTCGCCATGCCAGATATGCTTGGTGTGACAGTGACAGCAGGGGTTGGTTACTGTACAAACATTTCTGGGATCTCATATCTGACCGCATCCTGACCCTTTTGTTCAGACTGTGACCATATCACTACCATACACAGTAGAGTTTCCAGCACAGCTCCAGGCGTTATGGCAGATGTGAAACCAGCACGTTCTTGGCTCAGTAGTGTGAAAAGAGTACAAGTCTTCCTGTGGGAGAGTAGTAACTTTGGTGTTTATAACCCTGATGCTTCATATTCCATGTATCCTCTGGCCCTCAAACTCTAAAACAAAGACATCCTGGTGTTTACTCTCCCTTAAAGGACCACACTGGTGGTTTTACATGTTTTAGCCCAAATAGAACAAATAGTGTGTAACTCACATCACTGTCAAACATTATCCAAAGCTTACCATCAGTTTTTAGATTGATTTGATGTTATTGGTTCCATTTATTTTTATTAAACTATGAAAATTAATTTACAGAATGGAAACTTCCTTGAGATAGCTAATCCATTATAGTGACTTTTGCATGTATTTATTGGTAAATAAGTAGTAAGCTGAGGAGCACTGCATTCATGGGCTTCCCAGAAATTAAAAAGTTAGAAAATTTGAACGTCCTTGCTAAAAGTTCAATGTGATTTTCTTGTAGGGCAGCAACTAACAATTATTTTCATTAGACATTAATCTGCTGATTATTTTCTCGATTAATTGTTTGAACTAGAAGATGGTGACACGTGCTCATCTGAGTTTACAAAGTGTCATCTTCAGAAGTATTGTTTTGTACGACGAAGAGTCCAAAAAGCAGTGAATCCTCACATTTAAGAAGCCAGAACATTTCCTTAGCATTTTGGCTTATAAATACCCAAATTATTAATAAATTATCAAAATAGTTGCTGATTGTCTGTTGAATTACAAATTTCTTATATGACTTGTATCCGCTCCAATTTCTTGCAGTTCTACAGCAGACACTGAGAGGTTCAGGGAATCCTTTTAACACACCAACAACAAGTGTTTACAAAATAGTTCACATCTATGACTGCATTGCCACGTGACACGATGATATAACCTTGAAGTAAAAATAAACGTGACATAAATTGTTCAGTGTGATGGATTTGCTATCTCATGTTTCCAGTCTCAATAGCACGAGGGAAAAAAAGTGGCTGTTCGGAAGGTAGAAAATCAGTCTAAAATCTGTTATGATTTGGCAAAAAGCCAGTAGTGATTTATACACATTTTATAGGTAAAGGGTTAAAACATGCAAAAACACTGGTACCTTTGATCTGCTGACCCATCTCGTTTTTGACTCATAGACTGTAGAATCTATGAGTGCTGTTCTGACGTTTTATACATGTACAACAGCGATGGAGGACAAGGCAAGCATGTAAATGGAATGATAAAAGTAGACTATTGATTGCACAAGATTGCTTTAACCGGAATGAAATGGCGGTTATCAAAAGTAATTAATTTACACTCAATACATTTAGGTACTGCACTATTTAAGCACTTTGTATACTATAAGGGATGCATTGTGCCAGAGATATAAAAATACTGTCATATATTTAAATATTTTTGTGAAACATAAGCTCATCTGCTAAAGTTTTCAGTGGTATTTCTCTCGCCCGTTTCCCCTCAGATTTATGATAAAGAGAGCACAAGGGAGAAACCGTTTTGGAATGAAGAACTTCAAGAAGAGATGGTTTCGCCTCACCAACCACGAGTTTACCTACCACAAAACCAAAGGTGAGGCCAAACGTTTGTCAGGATCTTCTTACAGTTGCATTGTTTCCTCGTCTGTTTATGTCATTGTGTGTGCTTGTGTAGGAATCAGCAGGAGGGAGAGAATCTGCTGAATGTACATTTATCCTGAACGCAATGTGCGTTCTACACGCAGTGGAGATTAAGTTACTGAGCAGGAAATACATTTGTGCTACAAGCTCAGGCCAAAACTAACACATATGTTGTTTCTAATATTGCATACTGCATACTGGGTCAATATGCAGACTTAAAGGCATTTCAATGTTTAATGTTAATTGTGCTGTTGATGGACACTCTTCTTGATCTTGGAAAAGAAATTAAGTGGTTGGAGATACAGCATGAGGTGCAAAGGAAAAGGAACAAAATGTGTACTTTTTCTTGGAGTTGTAACTCAATAAAATCTCAACACATAGACATGATAAACGTATCTCTGAATTCACTGTGACCTCCACTTTTTAGGATATCATTATTTCCAAATCATCACCAATAAATGTCCAAAAATCAATATGTAACTCCAGAGCTTGCCTGAGAATCATTACGTTTTAAAGTTTCCTATAACTATCTGAACAACCATGGGTACACTGCAAACAGGAACTGATAATAGGTAATTCGGCATACTTTTAATAATGCCACAGTGTCAGACTGACATGGCAAACATTTCTTTTAGCTCAAGTTAATAAATATATTTATCATTTTACATACACCCCCTCCATTAATTTTTTTTTTTTTGTTATGTCTCATGTCTGATGTGATACCTTTTACCTCCAGGTGAGGGAGCTCTGTGCAGCATTCCCATAGAGAACATTCTGGCTGTAGAGAGGCTTGAGGAGGAGTCTTTCAAGATGAAAAATGTAAGGACCCCACACAGCAGCCCCTATGAGATCAATCTTTGGAGCTTTGAGCATTACTCGTATAAGTATATAGATGTTTCCCTCACTTGCTGTCCATTTTTCCCTACTCCAGATGTTCCAGGTTATTCAGCCGGAGCGGGCACTCTACATCCAGGCCAACAACTGTGTCGAGGCACGTGACTGGATCGACATCCTGACCAAAGTCAGCCAGTGCAACCGCAAACGTTTAAGCACCTACCATCCTTCAGCCTACCTCAACGGCCACTGGCTCTGCTGCAAGCTCTCAGCAGACACAGCCCCTGGGTGTACGCCCTGCACTGGGTACGTAAAGTTGTCGAAATCTGTCCAGCACCAGGTTCCTGTCCTTTGTTTCCGCTCTCTCATCCTCCTGTGTGCATCTGTTTTTTAGCGGCCTGCCAGCAAACATCCAGCTGGATGTAGATGGAGACCGAGAGACTGAGAGGATTTATTCCCTGTTCAGCACATACATGACCAAACTGATCAAGATGCAAGGTCAGATACTGACAATAGTGTTTATGAGCATGCGTGTGTACGCTTGCATTTTCCCCATGTTTGTCTGTTTGTTTTCACGGTCTCTTTTGTTCTCTGTCTTACAATCCTGCGTGTCTTCCCCTGCAGAGGCCTGTGGCAGTAAGTCTGTGTATGACGGCCCTGAACAAGAGGAGTACTCTAGCTTTGTCATCGATGACCCCCAGGAGACTTACAAAACCTTGAAACTGATTGTTTCAGCCGTGCAGACCTTGGAGCAGCAGCACACCAAGTACAAACGTGACAAGTTCAAGAAGACAAAGATAGGCAGCCAGTATGTGATTTGTTTGTTTGTTTGTTTGTTTGTTGTTTGTTTTCTTAGCAGAGACAACGCACAATACATATATTGTACCAGACATAGCTAAAAACTACTTGTAATATATACTACTATTGTATATATTGTCAGTGTTGGGGTTGTTACTCAAAAAAGTATTTTATTACACATTACTTGTAACTTTGTTAAAGGGTAATGCATTACTTTACTTAATTACTCCCTGTAGTAAGTAGTAAGAAATCGCCTGAGATTACATAATATGAACTGTGTTTAATGAGCCAAACAAACTCACTCACACTCCAAACTATGGCTTCATTGTAGACTACTCCAGCTTATTTGACATGTATCACTAAAGCAGTGGTTTTACCTCATGAGGAGGAGTCTCTCAAATGGTTTGTCAGACAACCTGTTCCTCCTCACCCACTAGACTCGCTGTGTTGAATTTCATGGATAGAGCAGAGAAACAGTTCAGGATTTCCATCTCTGACCCCGATTGCTGTATCCTCACTGAAAGCAAAGAAGTGACTCAATTGGCTGACTATAAAATCTAGTTCAATATTGAGCAACTGACGGCAGGTTGTGCAGTCGTACAATATTAGCTTTTTTTATCATGCACAAAGTATGTTGGAGACTTAATGTAGCACTTTTAACATTCAGATAACTCATAGCGTTAGCCACTCGTGTGAGCTGTTTCCTGGATTTTCCCTTCAGCCCAGTCACATTAGCGTTTGGTTTGTCCTTTGTGGATATTTTGGCCTCCACCTCTGTTTATTATCTAATAATCATGACAGAAAGTTTTGTTTTATATGTCCTAATTGTCTCCAGAGAGCACTCTATAACCTCCTTCCAGCAAATAAACACCATCTTTCTCTTTGTTTCCTCAGGGAGCATCCGATCGGAGACAAGAGTTTTCAGTGCTACATCCGCCAGCAGTCTGAGAGCTCCACCTACTCCATCTAGCCAAGGCCCTGCGTACTGTTTCTATGATGCCCAGAACCAGCATTTTTTTTTTACTGCAAAGAAATCCATCTTATCAGTGCTCTGAGTCTGGGGTTGAGTTTTAAATCTTTACTTTTCCTTAAAAGGAATATTTGACTTTTTAAAATACATTTCTGGAAGCAGGTGATGCTGTTTTTCACCTGACTGACTTGTTCAGTTTTAAGGAAAATAAGAGTTTTAAGGGTCAATACCAGACTGAATGTGTGTGTGGAGATGGCCATTTTTTGCAGTGTGTCAAGGTGCATCACTCCAAAGTTTGGAGAACAGACCTCAGACCTCAGCAAGAATAAAAGAGGAACAATTGTGGAGGAAAGGAAGGATATGAATGAAGACATAATCGCACCATGCATCTATTGGGGTCTCCTTTCTGTGATATGATGAGAGAACAAACAAACGTTTTCACTGGACAGTTTTGACAGTGACCAACACGCACTTTAATCGCCTCCAAATCTATGGATGAACAAGCCTCGCAGCACACTTTCAAAAAAGCTTATTTTATCTGTTTGATTTGTATTTGGTTATTTTAATGGTTGTTGAAATGATCCATTGTATTTCATTCGAAAAGGAAGGAAGGAGTGTAATTTTCCCGTCTTTGGGTGGTGTTGTCCCCATGTACCTGTTCTTTTTTTAGTTTTTATCCCCAACCTCCTCAGGAAGGCTGTGAAGGTCAAGGGCACACATAAAGGGATTGTCGGGACCAAGCACAGCCAAGAGCAGCTTGACGTTAGCTATCACAGACAATTTTATCCCTCATTTTTAATCCTTATCATCAATGTGCTAACAGATGTATAGGTTTAAGTTTTCATGTTACATTTAAAGCCTTGTTCTGTTGCGGTTGGATATCGTGGTCCTGTGTAACCAGTAACTGGGTTAAAGGAATAGCTTGTTTTTCTTTCTTTTATTCTTCTTACACTGAGTCAGACAAACTTCATGGATGCCTTTTTTGTATTTTTGTTCGCTGTTTGAAGGTATATTGAGCAGTTTACTTAAGTAAGACAAAATACACTTAATGGCAGATTAGTTGAACAAATAAATTAGTTTATGTCCAACTTCAAAACCAGTTTCTGTAGATATCAGTGCCAGATTTCCCCGGAAGAACAAATGTATTCAGTAAAATGTATTGTGTAATCACAATATACACTCATTGACCACTTTATTAGGTGCACCAGTACAATCTATTGCACATCTATACAACAGCTCTGCCATAAATTCTACATTCACAAAGTTTATATTATTCTGTTTTTGGTGACATTGTCGGAAACCTGTAAATTCTAATATATGTTTATATTTAGGTCGTAATTAAAGGTGCAGTTGTACTGGACTGCATTATATTGAGAGGAATTTCTAGTTTTGTTGGCCTATTTACATATGAGAGGGGTTCAGAATATTAGAAATAGCTCTGAATATAAAGCAGTCCAGTACAACACCACCGATAACTATGACATCAATGCTTTAATTACCACTTCACTGACAGTGTCCAAAAAACTGAACATTAAAGGCACCATAAAAGGAGACTTTATGACAGAACAGTTGTATTGGATTGCATTAGATTTTACAGGTGAACCTAATAAAGCAGCCCCTGTTGGTCTGTAATTCCTGGAAATATTAGTATTAGTAATTCCTAGAAAAGTAGCTTAATTTAACTGTTGCAGGTTCCTATGCAATGTATATTGCCTCTTTTAACAAGTTGCTTGTGCTAGGCTAAGATCGCCATTCAACATACCCTCAAACTGAAAGCAGCCATAACAAAAGCATATGTTTGTTTCACTCTGTGCAAGTGGAAAAAGTAGTTACAGCCAAACGATCCCTTCAACTATCACAAAGCAGAAACTATGTGTTAGCACAGCTCATTAACAAGGATAGTTTTAGCTTATCTTCTAATTAATCAATATACTAACATTTTAACCAGTCTCGTCTTCAAGTTATGATTGTGAATGGGTAGTGTGTTACTGGTTGTGTTGCCCTGTTGGCTGCCTAATAATGTAGATCTCCTGTTTTTGTGAGTTCAGCTCTGTCTTACTTTGGCAAAGCTGCACCCCTGTAGTTTAAAACTTATTTATGTGCATTCCTCTGAGAAACTGCCTGCTGTGAATCTTACCCATCAGCACCCCAGAATCTGTTGAAGGTACAAGGTTGAGTGTTGTTAACCAGTTGTGTTGTTCCATGCTTCCCAAAGGCAACCACTCATTAGCGTTCATATTCATCAGCACTCATTATCGCCAAACCAGTGTATGTGAAGTATAGTTGTAGTCACAGCGACGGTAGCCTCCACAGTCACTTCTGCGCAACCAGGTGACTACAAACGGGAAATTTTTTGTATTTTCCAAAACTGAGTACCTAGTTATGTAGCCTCATGGGTGTTCCCGTGATCACAGGATCCCAAACAGTGCCAGTCATTACTTTTATAAAATTCTCTTTTTTGAAAAACAAACAAAAAAAAAAATCATTGTTTGGATATGTTTTTTTTTATATATATATATATATCTCAAAACCTATACTGTTTTAAAAACAGACAAGCAATTATTCCGATGACATCTTTTTCTTTGTTGAATATGTTGATCTACGAACTGTAAGGAAGGTTCGCAACTGTTTGACTCTGTTTTCTATCTTTGTCTTGTCATACAGAAATCTCGCTGTGTATCTGAATTGAATGACTGAAGTGTGTGTGTTTTGTGCGTGTTTTTGAGTGTAGTATGTGCATGAGTGACTGACATGACGGGTTGTATTGCCAATTGAATTAACCCAGTGTTACAGGTCAAGAAAGGCAGAGTCCCACTTGTTAAAAAAAGAGAAAATCACTGCCTGTAATATAAAGACTTTAGTAGGACTATGGAAACACTGTTTTGCTCTACTCTGGCCTGATCTAGTGTATCTCCTCTTCCCTCTTGTATAGAACCACTGTTCCATTTCGAGGAACCTTTGCCAATATATTCTCCCCAAACATTTTATGTATATAACAACACTGATGAAACATTAAGAGAACAGCATTGCTTTAACCTCTGAACTTTAGTGAGTGTTTGTTTCCACCAGTTACTAACTCTCCTCAGGTTTATTGAAACTCAGCAGTTTCCGACAAGACTCGGACTGAATTACAAACCACCAAACATCTCTCTCTCTCATCCCTAACTTGGTAACCATATTTATTGTCATTTTCAGTAAAAACTTCCCAGAAACATCAGCTGAGTTGGTGTGGTAATGGCAGTTACAGTAATGTCAACTCCTCCACCCCGAAGTCCACTAAGGAATGACTTATGCAATAATGGTGTTTCAGCATGCAATAATATTAACAATCCCTCAATAAGATTATCAAATTATCACAAATTAACTACGCACATCTGCTGACCTTTTGCAGTAAAATGCCTCTCAAGATAAACACATATTATAAAGGGAGAACAGTGTATTTTGTACAAATATTTTAAAAGTATTAAAAAAAAAGCCTGTTATCTGTGTGCATAACAGTTGAATGAATGGTGAAAATGTGATGTTTTTTTTCCCTGAATAACTAAATGAAACCAATATTAATGCAAACACAGGTGTCTGTGTCATTTGTTAAATGGTTCAGTTTGCCTCTACGCTACATCAACAGCTTCGTTTTGCTTTAGTTAGCAAAGACATTGTATTAAATAAACATTTTTTAAAATGATTTGTGTGCAGCAATGGGCAGATACATTAATATCTTCTTTTGTGTGTTCATTGGTGAAGTGGTGGTGGGGTTGGTGAAGTTCTTTTGACCTTCCTAGTTAGAAATCTGACTTCGGGGGGCGTTCCAGTTGAAATTTCTGACTTCCCAGCACAAATCATGCTCATAGGCCTGCCCTTTAAAATCTATTAGCACTGAGAAACTTTCCACTTTAAGCATGTGAAGACATATTTCTAGTGTCAAACTCTGCACAAACATCATTCTGCACAGCGAAGCCCAAACACTGAACTGTAGGAACAAGAACATTTTTTTTAATTTAAATATATGTATACAGGTATATAATAAAATATGTGTGTATATTTTCTATGCCTTTGAATACCACTCAAAGCAGGAACATGTTGGTTAAATAAACAATGAGCGGTGTTAACAGCGCCCCCTAGCTGCCTCCCCTCATACATTACCCCTCTATAACTGCTCTCCTGGCGGCCCCCGCCACTCCCCCTCTCTCTACGAAAACACTTTCGGGAAGAATAAAGTTTTTTTCCCCCCCTCTCTCACACGGACCTGTGCTCAGCCAGTCTTTACTCAGAGCCAAACCAGGGCCTAGCAGGAAGAACGGCTCGACTATGTGGAGACAGAAACGGGCACTTGGGGAATCCTTGGCTTGTCTCGTATTTCTTGTGACGCTCGTCGATGCTTATCGATGTAAGTATGTAAGTGTTTTTTTTTTTTTGTGGTTCACATTATGAACTCCACGCAGTGAAGTAATTTCACGGAACAGCCTGTTAGTTCCCTCAGATTGAAAGCAGCTTTTTTTTTTTTTCTTTTTTTTTTTTTTTTGCCTGGATGTGACTAGTTGGGAACGGTTTCAGTACTTATAACATAAGAGCAGCAAACAGGGAACAGAAAGTGTGAGGGGTCATGACTCCTTTCCCTACACCGTGAAACAATGCTTGGTCGGCATGAGCAGCTTGTTCTGGGAAATAACGGTTTCGCAATGAGCCCCTTTTTTTTTTTTTCAGGCCAGTTCACAGAAGAGTAATTAGGTTGTCCACTTTGTCCTTGCAAGGCAGCAGCCACATCAGCCATCTGTCAGGAAGAAACAGGAATTCCTGCTGGGATCAGTCATGTGTTATGTATAATGTAGCTGCATGTGCCTGGTTGTATTAATCACACATGCACTGTAATAGGCTTTTGCACTTCTTGATTGTTGTAATAGCAAACATGCAAACACTGACAATGACAATGGAAAAACAGCTTTACAGAATATATATGAATGAGTGTGTGTGTTGATGTGTCTCTCCTGTAGTCCTGAGCCAGAGCACAGCCTCTCAGTTTCTGAGCAGGCACAGGAGAGCCAACTCTCTGTTTGAGGAGAGCAAGAAGGGCAACTTGGAGAGGGAGTGCATCGAAGAGCTGTGCAACAAGGAGGAGGCCAGGGAGATCTTCGAGAACCAGCCAGAGACGGTAAGAAGAGCCGCGGACCTCCTGATCTTTGTGGTTCCAGCTGCAATGGCATTTCTGATTATGAGACTAAGGAGAGGTTGGATGATGAGAAAGAACAAGTGAAAATAAAGATATGGGTCAAGCAGTGAAAATGAAAAGAAATGTAGTAGATCAGAGTACGGCTGTAAGTTATGATTATTTTATCTAATCTAAATCTAGATAATTTAGAATAAATTATTAAAGAAAACCAGCAAATATTCAGATTTTTATTGTTTTTGGCACTTTTCCTTTTAACATAATATCAATATAGAATAATTTTCTAGTAGTAGATCTATAGACAAAACATTTCAGTTATAGATCAGACACTATTCTTATATCTTATTGTCAAATGGTAAATATCTGGCCTGTTTTGTTTTTTTCCAGGAATACTTCTACCCCAAATATGTTGGTAAGTTTTCGGAATGTACTTTTCTTTGTGATATCAGGTTTGTTTTGCCTATTCTGATAAAGATCACTCTTTGTTGCAGCCTGTCTGGGTTCACACCGTGTCGGAATCAACAACCAGAACCCTGATTCTGGTATCCCATCGAATCTTCGCTCCTGTGTGAAGGGTGAGGGGCTTTCACGTGGAAGAAAAGTGTATTTTTGACATCAGTTTGTCCGTAAGCCCAATACAGGTTAGCCTCACACCTGTGAAATGCTTTTATCCAGGCTTTTGTCAACATCCTCTGTGTGTGTGTGTTTGTTGCATGGCAGAGATCAGTAACCAGTGTACGCCGTTTCCATGCTACAAGGAGGGTTCACAGGGGTGTGTGGATGGCCAGGCCTCCTTCACATGTGTGTGTAAACCTGGCTGGAAGGGGTTGCTCTGTGAGGATGGTGAGTTCTGATACATAACTTTATTAAACGTAGAAATTGAACCTTTTGAAGCGACTGAACTGATAAATGTTGTCCTGTAATGTGTTAACTTGGCAGACATCGATGAGTGTACAGATCCTGAATTTTCAGCGGGATGTAACCAAAAGTGTTACAACTTCCCCGGTAGTTTCCATTGCATGTGTGAAGACGGCTACTTCATCAATGACAAAATCAACTGTGTGGGTAAGACTTCATTCATTTCAGTTGCAATTTGTGCAGCTAAACTGCAACAGTGTTATTCTTTTAAGCTGAATTAATTTTAGTTACACCAAAGGACAGAAAGGTACAGTTTTATGCTCTTTCTGTGTGTGATTTATGTCACGTATATGAAGACATGCAGCTGTTTTACTGTCCCTATGGAAGAGGAACATATACTGCTATTAAACAGCTGAGCAAACACACACATGGTGTATTATCCTTTTTATTTATTCATATGGACGGTGGAATTCTACGCAATTCATAACAAAAACTCTGTCATCCAGCTGTTGTCCTCCGGGCCCAACCATTTGTTATTTCTAAAGCTGGCCTGAGGTGACCTCTTATGTAACAGCATGTGAAAAGCTTTTAACATCTGAAAAGATGGCCCATCCTTTTACTGTAAACGGACCACCAGTCTCATATGTCAGAGCTGTTAGAACCTGCTTATAGTTTGTAAATGCTTGTTGTCTCATTTGTGCTTATTTCTATGTGTCCTATTTTGTGTGGACAGTTCACTCAGTATTTATCTCTGCTTGTTGAGTACAAAGTCTTTACAAACATGGACTGTGTTAGTTTGGTAAATTTGCTTTTTCCTTTTTTTTTTTTGATTTACTGTGGAGATTTAGAAGTCCATACAGGCGCATATCCCATCAATACCTATCCCGAATGATAACTTAATGCTGTAATTAATGTTTTCCGAAGCACAGAATTAATTCCAAGCAAACACTGCTGTAACTGCTTCTGTTTCTTGTTGGAGCTGCAATTAATAATTATTTTTCAATTATTTTTCAATTAAAAATTAGATTATTAATTTCTTAGTCCATAGAATGTGAAATTATTGAAATATTACTGTCACATTTTCCACAAGACCAAAGTGATATCTTTAGTTTGCTTATTTTGTTGGACAAGCAATGTAAAACCCAGAGTTCATGTTCAATTTAGACAGTTTAAGAGCGAGAGAGCAGCAGCAAACATTCACAATGATAAACTAGGACCAGGTTCAGATTTGTTTCTGCGCTGCATTAAAGGAGAATGAGAGCTGGCGGCTGAACCTCAGCCTAAACAGTTCATATTGCAAACTCTCACAAAAACATTTGCCCATTGTCTCTTTCAATTTACTATTTTCCAGATATCAATGAATGCCTGCTGTATCCCAGTATCTGTAATGAACCGGCTAAATGTGTCAATACGCCGGGCATGTACGAGTGTCAGTGTCCCCGGGGTTTCAGATATAACTTCACTTCCAAGACCTGCAATGGTGAGGCTTCAATTTATTGTTTCTTTCATACCGTCAAGAGTCATATTGCCTGATATGTGAGAAATCAGACTACCTAAAAACAGATTTTTGTGTTGTTCTTTTCTTTTCTTTTTTTGTTGTTGCAGATGTGGATGAGTGCGAGTTGAACGTGTGCGACGGGATTTGTATAAACACAGTGGGCAGCTATGAGTGCCACTGTGATGGTCGTGAGGGTCTTCGTTTGGCGGAGGACAAGCGCTATTGTGAAAGAATCCCTGTTTGTGTTGACCTGTATGACTACAAGCACCCTGAGATGCTTTACCTCGGGGAGCAGTTTACAGGCCTTCCTGTCATCTACCTGCGCTTCCGTCTGCCGGAGAACACAAAGTAAGGGTCAAACACAAACACACACACACACATACGAATATAGTGTATTTTCTTAAATCATCATAAATGTGTTTTGTGTTTTTTACACTATTTAGGACAAATAGCATATGCATTATGCCAGAACAACAAGTCAGAGTCAATTCGACCCTGGATAAAGTTGTTTGAATTTAAAATCTAAAGCTGTATCTCAACTAAGCGCACGGCTCGACTCTACTCACTTTTAGTACGTCTGCTTCATTTTCCACTGTATACAGTACTTTGATTAGTGCCCCCAGAACGTAGGCGGAGCAGATCGTCATAGCGATGCAATTGGAAAACAACACACAGGAGCTTTACTTTGTTCTTGAGAAGCTGCAGCCTTTACTCAGTGACAACCTGTAACCTACACTGTACATCTACTGCTACTACAGATTGACAACTTTACTCCTGTCTTTTCCTTTTTGCACCGCTCACATTCACCACTATTTCACTCATCCACACACTAACTATGTATGCAAGAAGGAGCTGCTACTCTTATAACATAATACATTCAAAACGAATGGCATTCCTACCTGTCTCAGACTACTAACAGAGGATATTAAGAGGAGGAAGAAGAGGATATTGCTTGATACATCTGCACTTTGTTAATTGACCATGGCATGGTTTGCAGGCAGCCATTTGTGAGGGAATTAAAAATTGTGTGCAGGATGTCCCGTGTCACAT